CCCATCGAGAGTTATGGTGCGCATCAGCCAGTCAGACAGACGGACGGACATCGCTAGATCGAGTCCAAATGTCCTGAGACGAATTTGGTCCAAAGAGACCGTTATTTCGATGTTTCGGCCGTATCAAATGATATATACCCTCTCTAGCCATATGGCTGTGGGTATAAAAAAGAGACCGCTGAGAGCGTCAACCATTGATCCCCGTTTTTCGAATGATCGAAAGTTAAATAAAAGCGCTTTACTTACCCTCATCATCGTCTGTGACTTCAGCGGTGACAATGGCACTTGACAATGTCGTATTGGCCGGTAATACACATCCATTCCCCACAACACAGCCCTCGGTAAGTTTCGATTTACAGCCAACCTTTGCCTTAGCTCCTACCACACAAAATTCCAAAACACAATTATCCTCCACCACAGCATCGTCCAATATGAAGGCATTCACCAAACGGCAGTTTTGGCCAATCTTGACATTTTTACCCAAAACACTGGAGCCTAGCGTTGACCCACTACCAACGAAACTACCAGCGCCAGCTACAACATTTTCCCTTAACGTGACTTTGGACATATTCGATTCGGGACTTCTGTAGATGTTATTTTTCAAAAAGATATACTGCTGTTTAAGACCCACCACACCCATATCGGGTACAAGAGGATACGACCAACGGCTAATAATATCATTGCTAACAATCTGATAGGTTAGCCAATTGTTGACTTTGCGGGCATATTGTTCACGGGGCAGCAAGGAGACATAGATACGGCTATCTAGAATTTCTTCATTTATCAATATGCCTTTGACGAAGTCGTCACGGGTTTCGAAATCGAAATTATCCGAAAATAACGAGAGCATAGATGGTGAACCAATTGCCATTTGGGGATCGATGAGATTATGATACAATGCCACCTGGGAATTGTTCATAAATACCTCTAGGGGTATTTCGAAATCTTTTTCCTTGCCATTCAAACGCAGCCGTTGATGATGATGTAGCCGGTTGTTTTGAACATCCACAGCAATCATGATTTCATTGCCGGTACGTAAATGATTTTCTGCCTCCTTGAAGATGAGTGTGGCCGCAGCACCTTTATCATATTTGGCTATTTTCCTAGAGAGGTAACATATTACTATGGCAAACTCCATTTTATTAAAATTTTGACTTACTTATGTTGCTCGAAGATGGGCCTAAAATCGGTATTGGTTATGGTATCGGCTCCCAAAATAACAAAATTCCCTCTTATCAATGCCTTGCTATCCAATTCTCGCATGGCATCACCAAAACAACGACAGCCCTCGCCTCCAATGACAGTAACTTTCATGTTGACCGACCAAGAGCTGAGTGATGCAATCCCTTTCCTATGCCAATGAAAATGTAAACAAATTAATGTTAGCCATCATGTTGGCATATTGAGATTCCTTCTTACTTGATATAATCCCTAACACTTTGCAGGTGTAGGCTGGCAAAGACAAACACCTCCTCGATTCCACTGCGATTTAAAGCCTCCAGGGCATAATCCAACATAGAAACATTGACCAAAGGAATGAGAGCCTGCAAAAGAAATTCAATCATTACAGCAGTTCAATGTAGGCAAGGGGTTCTTGGGCCCTAGCTCACCGTAGAGTCATTATCGGACAATGGCTTAAAGTTCTCCACATTATTGTCGGCTATGAGAATAGCTTGTATAACGTCTTTCTTGTCAAAATGATCCATTCCGTGTGTATTTTCGCAAACCCAAAGAAAACTCCCTTGTCCGCATGCAACGTCAAATAAATTCACATTATTTGTGAAAGCACAATAACGATAAAAATAACAAAAGACCGATAACGATAACATATACCGTATGTGAGAAATATCGATAGTAGAGCGCAAAACATATGTAGTGGTGGTTTATAACGGGCGCGCAAATTTAAAGAGGATGAAAAATATAATAGTTTTAAAAGAGGTTTAAAGTAGGGCCAAATCAGCTGGATGACATGGGCTTAAACAACTGTGTTCCTTATATTTTAATGATGAAACAAATATGTGAAGCTTCCACTGAGAGATATACTTCACAAAAAATGCATATCTTCCAAACGAAAAGATGAATTAAAAGTTAAAAACATTGCATTTTTTCGTTATCGGGACCAGATTCCAGAAATGGTACTGAAGTGGTATTTGTTTTGGTAATAATTAATAATTATTTTTTTTTCTAAATCGAATGTCCATGTAAATCACATTGTGCAAATACTGTTGGCGATCATCAGTAAGCAATCGATATTGAAAGCTCTCCTGTAGTGCAAATCTCTAACTCTTTTTGATTTACCGACAAAAATCGGTAACTTTGAAACTCAAAATTTTGATATAAAAAATAAGTTAAGGTTGACAACATTGGTATCTATGGGTAGGTCCTTCGTCGCAAACTTACCTACAAATTAGGTCAATTACCGAATTAGTTTTGTACTGATAAATGTCCTTATGTTGAAAATATTTTAGATATGAGTGACTTTAGTATTTTCACTCATACCCCTAAAACAACATAGACGACATCTACCATAGACAAATGAAAATATAGACAAATCGCCGCTTATAGCATGTTTCCATTGGAAACCGAACAACGTTGTTCGCTCTCAGAATTAGGTACACGAATTAACTCGTTCATACGGCACGATTCGTAATTCATAGTAAAATAATTCCTTTTTTCAAAAATTTTGTTTCTTGATTTTAATGGGAATTTATACTAAAATACATTAAATTCTCTCTAATATGAATAAAAGAAATGATTGTTTTTCTCCCAAATATGTATTATATCAATAATTTTATAATTTTCAATCACGTTTTCAACTTTTTGTGTAAATCTTGACATTTTGAACATATTTTTGTGTTTTTCCATTTTTAAATTCTACTGGAGAGACACTTGTCAAACATTGACATTTTGAACATATTTTTGTGTTTTTCCATTTTTAAATTCTACTGGAGAGACACTTGTCAAACATTTTTTTTGCCAATAGAAACATTTTGAAAATATTGCCTCTTTTGTTTGCAGTTTTCTGTGGAAATTTCATCTCGTGGACCAAATGCGTACTTCGAATGAGAGAGAAAACAAAATTTACTTTCGTTTGAATGTACATACGCCATTCAACATTGTAGTTTTCATACATAATTTTCAGTCTTCCCAAAAATTTTTAAAATTTCATTAAATTTTTCTATTTTTAATTTTAAATGTCATAATTTATTTTTTCGATAAATGCTCTCATTTGTTAGGGATGGGACATCTTTTTTCGTTGTTCTGAGAGTGATTTGAATTGAACAACGTACAAATATGAGTGTTCGCTCAAGAAATTTTGTGTGAAGAATTAGGTAGTTTTTTCATAGTTAAGGGTCAAACAACGAATAGAGAGCGAATCAAGTGCAGTGGAAACGCCACATTATCATCGAAAAAATTCGAATCAGTAGATGTCGTTTCAGGGGTATGAGTGAAATACTACAGTCACTCTAATCAAAAATGTTAAAAAATTTATGAATAAAATTCAAGTGAAAATTACGTGATGACATCGAAAAATATGGGAAATTATTCAAAAACGATATTTTCAATTTTTTATAATAAATAAATATTATATGGTCTGTTCCATAACCTGCAAGAATCTACTATTTTTGCAATGTTTTCGATATTATAAAGGAAAATCGGTTATCGTAGTAAAAACTTTTACTTTCTTGCAGTTCTGGAACAGACCAAGAGTGAACAATTTTTTTTTCAAAGTCGAGTAGGTTGATTGTTGACTGAATGCGCAAAGGTGTAAGGGCGCCCTCTGGTGGGGAAATTCAATAACACATCTCCCAGCCCATATTATGTAGTCGATGGTCTATTAATTCATCAATCTATGATTGATGATTTCAGTTAATGTAACTTCTATTCAAATGAGTAAGTGGTATATTTTCTTATTTTCTATATTGTAATACTTACTCATGTTCGACAATTGATCTCAATAAAATTTACAGATATTTTTATGGTATTATTATTATTTTTATGGTATTATAGTATTTAATTCCTTAAAAATATAATAATTTAACATTTTTATATTTTCCTTCGATGAAACATACCAACGCCATCTATATTTCACTCACACTACATTGTAAACTGTTAATATGACAGAAGAGAAAGTTACAGAGCGGGAGAGCAACTCGTGTGGAATTTCATGATAAACCAACCAATGACAGTTGCATGTTGAACGAACTCTACGAACATTGTTGGATTAAACTTGGTGTGGACAACACGTAAAGCGCGGACTGAACGTTGCCGTTAAAAGCTAATCTAGGCGGGAAAAAAGACAAAAAGAAAAATAGATAACAATATATATCGAAGCTAAACATAGAACAAGTGTTAGCAGTGAGCTAATGGAAGACGCCTGTTCAGTGAGTGTGTGAGTGATGAGAAAACACTGAAATGGAATTTAACGAAGTGTTTGCTATTAGAACAAAAGTAACAAATTAATAAAAAATATTAATTAACACAACAACAGCGATTGCTATGCATTGAGAATGCAACAAAACTACCCATACAACAACATTTAATGCAAAACTATTTTTGCAGTGGTACCTAGTTCTTGTAACTGTGTTGGCTCTATTGTGCACTTGTAAAATAGTTACGATTTCCTTTTGTTTGGAGTGTTGACTGCACGGAAAACAAAGAATAATATCGAAAATAAAACAAAATAAATTATAAATACATATCAAGATAACTTAATAAGAATTCAATAAATAAAGGTGCTTAGTTGTTTGCAAAACTTCATTGCACACCTGGATATTAAAGAAGTGAATTTTGCAAGTCTCAGTGTTTGTGTGTGCATGGACATGCCTTTCCATTGCATCTGAGTGTGCGTGTGTGTGTTTGTGTCAAGTGGTAAAGAAAACTCATAAAGTGCTTGTTTCTTAAGTTTTTCATTTCAATATTGAAAAAATAAATAGATAAAAAGGAAAACTAAACAAAATAAAAATGAATTGAGTAAAAAATGCAATAAAACAAAATAAATAAACAAAACGACCGACCAAGCGACCTACCCAACCAAACCAATGCACGGTATTTTGGATGCTACCACCACCAACAACAACAACAGAAACAACAACTCCCATAACAACAACCACTCAACTCACCTTACCCTGCTTCTTCTTCAAGTGTAATCGCTTCTTGTTGGGCCATTTTATAAACGACTTTTGTTGCCTAGATGTGGTAAGTTAGCCAGCCAGTCAGCCAGCAGTTTGCTATGGCATTTGAACTTTTATTATGAACTTTTTTTATGACCGTAGGAAGTTTATTGTTTGTCGACGGTTGTTGTTTTTTTCTTACATTACATCTGTTTGTTTGTTTGTTGGTCAATGTGTACCCGAGATAGTACAGTGATGATAAAATTAAATAATACCGGAAGATAAAAGAGATGGGGCCGATGACGAAGAAAGGAAATAAGAAATTTTTCTTGTTTTAAGAAAAAAAAAAAAAAAATAGCTTTCATTGGGAAAGAATTTTAATTTTGGTGATATTTAAATACTTCTACTTTTATTATGGCCAATCTTATTGGAAGATTGTAATCTCTAAAAGCGAAAGTTCATTGTTAAATTTAATGAAAGAAAAAAGTGAATAGGAAAATTGCAAAAATAATGTGGTCTGTCACCACCTAAAATTAATAAAACATGAAAGTAGCGAAATGAGTTTTAAATATAAGGAAAAAGGGTATAGAAACGACTGAAGGGAACTTGGGATGATCAAAAGTTTGTCTTCGGACTCCAAAGCTCCCGACATCTCCACCTTTTTCAGATGTAATTCGAATTGTAAATCTAGAATAAAAAATGTATTTTTTTATTATTATTATTATTTTTTAGTTGTAATTGTAATTCGATATCCCAATTCTAATTCGAATTATTCGGTTTGTAATTCGATATTTGCATTTAAAATTCGAATTATTCTATTTGAACGCTATCTTTGGAACAAATTAAGATAGAAGTCTAAAATTTTCCCACACATGTGTTTTGCCAGTATGCAGGTTAAGTTCGTAAATGGGCCATGTCGGTGGACGTTTTCGTAAAGCCCTCATATAACGCACCTTCCGGTATTGGGTATTTTGATGATTTTAGTGACATTTTTCACATGAATTGTTTCAAATTTCATATTCGAATTTTGTAATGTCTAAAAATTTTGTATGTAGATCAACGTCTTCCTATAGCCCCGATATAACCTTACCTACCGGTAACTTGGTATTTTGATAATTTTAGCGACATTATTTCAAATTGTTTCAAATTTCATATTCGAAGTTTGTAATGGGTACTACAGCCTATGCCTAAAAATTTCGTATGCAGTTTTAAGTCTTCGTATAGTTCCCATATAACCTTACGTCCATTTATTCGGCATTTTGATAATTTTAGCGACATTATTCATCGGAATTGTTTCAAATTTGGTATTTGAAGTTCATAATGGATACTACAGCCTATGACAGAAAATTGTCTGTGAAGGTCCCATATAATGGTCTGTGTAGTCCCTATATACTGGTTCCTCCCAATATTTGGTATAAGCTACATTATTCACCAATTTTTTCAAGGTTCGCATTTGAATATTGTAATGGGTTATGAAAAAAGTTGCCTATGCAAGTCCACGTCGTCGTCCTATAGACCCCAGAATAACGGCTGTATTCGGTATTTTTAAGATTTTAACGGATTTTATTTTTTTTTGAAAATTGCCAAATTCATTCCAAATAGTAGAGGGTATTCAAAGTTCGGCCCGGCCGAACTTACAGCTTTTTTACTAGTTTTGAGTATGGTTAAAAACTCGTAGCAATTCAAAATATTCCACAAAATTATTTTTTATAAAATTCTATTATAGGTACTAGAAGATTAAATCTTAGAGTCTAAATCTTAATTTAACGCCAGGAATTGTTTTATATTAAAAACGTTTTTTAGGGTTAAAGCCGGACTTTGTGTGAGTTTATGCAAAAAGCTTCTCCATGAACTTTTTCGAGTTGACACCTGAAAGTAATATAAAATTTAATTTAAGGCCGCAAGTGTCCGGGAAAAAATATTCTGAACAAAATTTCGCTATAAATCTCAAAGTAGAGATAAAAAACTGCAAAAGAAGTCAAACGCCATAATTTTGACATTTTTTTAAATTTTATTGATTGAAAGCAAAAAGTGTCGGAAATAGAATCAAATTTTAGGATAAGTTCAGATTTGTTCGAATTGGTCAACTTTGGCACGAATTATGGCCTTCAAACGGCCAATGAAACCGTCACAAGCTGGCCGAATGCGGTGTTTTGGCCCACTCCCGGCGACACAATAGTCCAACGGATTGGTATCCGGAGATTTTGGTGGCCATTGTGCGCTGGAAATGAAGCGAGGAACCTCATTTTGTAACCATTCTTGGGCGGCGCGCACTCAGGATGGTGCTGAGCCCTGTTAGAATGTCCAAGGTCTGCGGCAAAAATGCTTGCGTGCTCAAGGCTTTAATACGCCCTCCAGAATTATTTTCATTATTTATTCTGATGTCACGGTCGATAATACGAGCGGAGAGCGACCATCAGCTGTTATGGCGGCACACACCATCATCATGGCCGGCGCTTGAATTCTGGTGGCCAACTGAAGGTGCACATTTTCAGCTGACCTCTTTGGCCAGCAAACACCATCATTTTGTTTGTTTAAAAACTGCTAGACAACGAATGTTTTCTCATTGGAGAAAACCAAATTCGACAGTTCACCACTTTCGGCCAAGTGAAGCAACTTTTTAGATTTTTTTGAGTCTATTTTTCATTCTGTTGCGGTATAAGTTCTTGCACTTTTTGGAATTTCAATGGCTTTACCCCGAGCTAATTTTTCAATATATGCCGAATGGAATATTATGATATGTTCAGCTCACGAGCCATTTTTCGGCCACTGCGACGCGGATTTCGATCAAGTCGCTTCTTTACTTTTCGAACCATTTCTGCTGATTTTGCTGTTTTCTTCCGTCCACTTCCTTCACGTCGGGCTACGAGGCACAAACGATTTATTCACATTTAAATGCTGGAGTGCTCTAAGGATAGCCACTTGTGGTTTTTCAGCCAAATATAAAGAAAACACACTAATACCCTTGAACTCCATCACGAATAACTTTTTTTCTGGAAAATTCTCACCAAAATGCTTTTGTACGCTTGTAAACAATAAAATGAGCTGTCACTGGACTAATTTTAACAGCTGTCGGACGAGTGTCTTAGAAATGACGGCAGTCTGAAGTTGGTTGCAGTTTTTTTATCTCACCTTTACACCATTTCTGAAACCCGTGCCCAGGAACAAATTACTTTCACCAAAGCAGGGTTAAGATTTCTTCCTCTGAAAATTAAAAAAAAAATGCAGAGCTTTACTGGACAGAAATTGCTCGAAATTTTTTTCTAATAAATGTTATTTGTTTATCCAAATAAGCCCTAGGCAAATATCAAAATAATTATCGTCCAAGTTCATTGCCAGGCAAGACTTTCATTTCAATAAACTAGAAATCCTCCATTAATCCGTAGCACTTTGATTTCCTCTTATTGTATGTATATTTGCGATAGTGAGATGGTATACTTTCCATAAGCAAAGGAAATCTTTCCCATTAAACATTCCTGAGTACTGCTTCTTTGGCGGTCGGTCGGTTCACTTGTCTCAATCTACAATTTGAATAAATCTCCGTTATTACTTTTAATTCTCAAGATTTGCGTAGCCTACCGAAGGTAGCTGCATAAAAGGCCCGCTAACTGTGTACGCTGCGGCGTGTGGAACAATTTCAATATTTACAAAATTCAATGAACGCGGTGATGAGTCGGGGTATTCCAACGCCAAGACCTGTTGTTGTACTCGCCGTCACAATCATTACAAAGCGAGTACATCTTAATAGCAAAGTCGAGCAATCATTATTCATTGTAATTATTACCTTGAAGATGTAGAGGAAGGGAAGGCCAGTAAAAGGGGTAGGAAACTATCGCGGAGGCTATGAAAAGATCTTCCAAATGCAATTTAACTTGAAAATAATCAACTAAAATATCATTGTTGTTGTTATTGCTGTACCAGAGTAATCACAGCCAAATGATATTACACTGTCTTCTCAGCAGTTGTTTTTTGAGTGAGACACCAAAACAAAAACCCAAATGGAAAAGAGATGCCACAAAAGAACGACAACAAATTCATTCAGGTTCGGTTATGATGGTGAGAGACCACAACTGCTGCCTGACTGCCGCATAATTAACTCAAGATGACTTGGATTTTTAATTCTCATGCAATTAATTGTCTATCAGCAAAAACTCTTGGAGAAGAAGCTTCTTCTGCTCTATGCCGTTGTACAGTTAGGATGACTTGTTGGTTGACGATTGCTGTTGCTGATGTTTTCCCACCATAATGTCCGGTCATTTGATGAAATGCCTCCAACGTCCATTCTACATTGTGTCCAAAGTTTAGGCAATCATTAAGGCGTTGCGGAGATTTTAATAAGTACACACCCAGTAGAATGGGAAACTTGGCTGAGGATTTTAATTGTGCAATTGAACGGTAAAATGTTGCGTGTGGAATCCACAGATGGCTTGGACAGTCAAAGTTCATAAGGTCAAGAGAAACTCAAAAGATCATCAGCGCACCTATTTATTTTGTATAGAAGACCCTATGGAAGAAGTCTTATATACAGAATAGAAGAGTCTTCTTTACAGAAAAAATGGTCTACTATTCTGTATAGACAACCTCGAGGTCTTCTAATTTTTATAGAAAACCTTGAGGTATTCTATTTTGTATAGAAATCCCTGAGGTCTTCTATTCTGTATAGAATACACTGGGGTCTCCTATGGTGTATAGTAGACCCTGAGGTCTTCTATGGTGTATAGTAGATCCTGAGGTCTTCTGTGTCCTATAGAAGACCCTGAGGTCTTTTGTGCCCTATAAAAGACCCTGAGCCCTGTTATTCTGTATTGAAGACCCTGAGTCCTTCTATTATGTATAGAAAATCTTGAGGTTCCATTCTACATATAAAAGAGCCTGAGACCTTCTATTCTGTATAAAAGAGCTTGAGGCCTTCTATTCTGCACAGAAGAACCTGAGGTCTTCTATGCTGTTTAGAAGACCCTGAGGTCTTCTTTGCTGTATAGAAGATCCTGAGGTCCTTTATTCTGTATAGAATACCCTGAGGTCCTCTATTTTGTATAGAATACCCTGAGGATTTCTATCCTGTATAGAAGGCCCTGAGGTCTT